AACGTGCGGTCTCCCCAACAATAAGCACCCCCCCCCCCATCATCATCATGCTGCTGTCAACCCCCCAATGGTTTCAAATAGTGTGGCTGCCCCCCACACTGATGATGTCTTAACGGCCAAAGTGACCCCCCCCCCCCACCCCCTCCTCCTCCTCTCCCCTCTTCTGAAAAATGAGTGACGAACGCTGATCTATGGCAGGCGTCGGTAGGACACATGCTGTCCCGCCTTAACGGGGGTTCCCTGTCCAATCCGCGGCACGTTTCTCCCCATCACGAATGCCACCTGCCCACGGGCACGTGCCGTGCCGTGTGCCGCAAGGGATTCCCGTGCGACGCTGAGCCAGGGAGCGCTCGCAAGAGGTCCGCGTGTCTCACGCCTCCGCTTCGCCGCCCACAAACGGCACTCACGCGAGATCAGAGCTGGCAGCCAATCGCTACGACGCAATGATACAGGCAAATGTACTCCCCCCCCCCCCCACCACCCTGTATAGCCTTTACGGACTGTTGGGGCAAGTGCTGTTTGTGAGTAGCGAGCACCTATGAAGGCGGGCACGGCACACGAGGGCGGTGAGAGGGCAACACCACGCCCGGCCGCCTTTGTCTCCCCAGGGGCGATTTACGCACCCCACGAGGTACTAATTTAAGGCTGAGTCGACCTAGGGGAGGCCCAGGACCGGTTCAGATAATCGTCAATGGTGATGGATGTGAACGGGAATCAAACTCGGGTCGGCGGGTTCGTAGCGCAGCGTAGCGCTCACCGCTACACCACCGCTCCCCACCTAAAAGCCACACTCACGCCAAAGTTGAGCTGACAGCCAATCGCTACAACACAGGCACACACACACACACAGATTCCTCCCTACAGCCTTATAGACCGTCAGGCAAGTGCTGCGGTGCATATACAGGCTGCTCATGCCTCAAGGGGCCGTGAGCGATGTTTGACCATACTTCACCATGCTGGTCAGTGTGGGTTTGTGGGGGGTGGGAGTGCAGGTTTTTGCTGCACTGCCCTGGACATCTGTGAAAAGGAGCTTCATGGCTCATCGGATTCCTCCGGTATAAATATTCTGATTCTGACTGCCCACAACACCTACTGCACCTGTTTAAAAAAAATCAGAATATTAACTTACACCGGAGGAATCCGATGAGCTATAAAGCTCTTTTTATGCACGATGGTCACCCATCCAATCTCTATCCAGGCTCAGGCCCCGCTTTTTTTTTTAGATATCGCAGGACCGGATGCATTTTCCATGATCTGGTCATAGGCTGGTTCCGTTAGTGAGCACCAATCAAGGCTGGCACTGCAAACGAGGGTTTAGCAGTGTGGCAAGCAAACAACTCCTGGCATCGCGTTTGTCTCCCCCAGCTCCGACCTGATGTCTACGACATCCGCACCCAGTGAGCGGACGTGCAGGAGGCCTCGGGTTCGCGCGGACATCGCACGGAAGGTAATGCGAGCCGTGATGGCTTGGGAATTGAACGCGGTCCATCGAGTTTGTAGGGAAATGTGCTCGCTACGCAGACGCGCGCACACACACACACAAACGCAACAATACGTCAATTTACAAAAATGCACTGATAGTTACACGCCAAGTGTGTGTCACTAATGATCAATTTTGCAATTAGGCAAATTAATTACAATCAAGAAGGAAACAAATGCACCTCATTACTCCATTGCCAATGTAAACAACCCGTTGTTTTGTGCTCTCCGCATCTTCCCAGAAATATCACGTGCATCGGCTTAGGGCTTGTTTGATAAACTGCAATGAAATGATCAGGCCAATTAAAGAGTCAGAATGAATGATAAAAACAAGTACTCACAAAAAATCTGTCACGTGTGGGGATGAAATTAAAACACCATCGTAAATTATTTAACGGTGTGTAACTAATTAACAAAGAGACAGACTTAGAACTAAATAATTTTTTTAAAATATCGATACTATAACATGTAACTTATTCGTATTACATTGTTTTCTACAAAAATAACTAAAACCCCACACAAAGACAATTACAAAGCTCCCCCGTACAGCGTGTAACAGACTGTTGGGGCAAGTGCTGTTAGCGAGCACCGATAAAGGCCGGTATAGCACCACGCCCAGCCGCCTTTGTCTTCCCAGTGGCGATGTTTTTACAAACCCCACCAGGTCGACCGAGGGGAGGCCCAGGACTGGTTCAGATAATCGTCACTGCTGTTGGCCATGAGTGAGAATCGATCTCGGGTGGCCGGGTTCGTAGTGCAGTGCGCTAACCACTACACTACCCCCTCCCCACACACAACAAAGCAAAGATCCCCCAGTATAGCCTTAACAGACTGTTGGGGAAAGTGCTGTTAGCGAGCACCTATGAAGGCTGGCAGGCAGCTCGAGGGGGTGGCATCAGCCAGGACCACGCCCGGCCGCCTTTGTCTTCCCAGTGGTAATGTTTACACACCACACAGGTACTCATTTGAGGCTGAGACGACCTACGGGAGGCCCAACACCGGTTCAGATAATCGTCACTGCTGTTGACCGTGAGCGGGAATCGAACTCGGATGGCCGGTTTCGTAGCGCAGCGCGCGTTAACCGCTGCACCACCGCTCTCCCCACACAAAGATCCCCCGTATAGCCTTGACAGACTGTAGGGGAAAGTGCTGTTAGCGAGCACCTATGAAGGCCGGAACGGTACACGAGGGGGTGGGTGGGTGGCCAGCACCACGCCCGACCGCCTTTGTCTCCCTAGTGGCGATGTTTACACACCGCACCAGGTACTCATTTGAGGCTGAGTCGACCACAGACACACACGCATGCACTGCTCAGTAGAGCTGCAGAGCAGTGCAAGCCTGGAAGCGATGCATGCCTGTGTGCGTGCCTGTGTGCGTACCTGTGTGCGTGCCCGTGTGTGTACCCGTGTGTGTGCCCGTGTGTGTGCCTGTGTGTGTGCCTGTGTGTGTACATGTGTGTGTACATGTGTGTGTGCCTGTGTGTGTGCCTGTGTGTGTGTATGTGGGGAGCGGTAGTGTAGCGGTTAGCGCGATGGGCTATAAACCTGGCGACCCGGGTTCGATTCCCGCTCACGGCCAACACCGGTTTTGATTATCTGAACCGGTCCTAGGCCTTTCCTAGGTCGACTCAGCCTCAACTGAGCACCTGGTGCGGTGTGTAAACATCGCCACCGTGGAGACAAAGGCGGTCGGGCGTGGTGCTGGCACACCCACCCCCTCGTGTGCCGTGCCGGCCTTCACAGGTGCCCGCTAACAGCACGTGCCCCAACAGTCTGTTGAGGCTACACGGGGGAATCTTAGTCGTGCGCGGTGCGTAAATCGCGTTTACGGCGAGCAGTGCCGAGCGAGAACTTCTGGCAAATCAGCAGCCCACCCGCGACGAGGAGAGGGGATTTACAGCTGCTCTGCCGCTGGGGGGTCAGCTGGCGCGTTACGGTGCTGGCTGTCAGCGAGGGCCGTTTTGTCCGAGCGTGAACGAGTGGCCACCGTCACGGGCGGTGGAACAGAGAGGGTTTTTTGGGTTTTTTTTGCTCGCCACGTCGATGCACGGTTTTGGTGCGGGCGGTGCACGGGTGCACGGGATTATGGTTGATGCGTCGATTGAAACATCGATCGCTCTTTACATTCGTCGAGGTAAAGGTGCAGCCCTGCAATCCCTTGGTCGTGCCACTGCTGACGGAATGATTTTCACGAGCTGTAATGAGCACCACACCCCCCCCCCCCGTCCCCTCGGGTGTATTTTGGCCTCGTCTTCCGTGCCAGCCAGACATGTTCAAAAGATCAGTTTAATGCACAGTCGGTTCTTACGACCAATATTATCCGTAACAGGTTTTTAGGTAAGATTGCGTGAATATAAATTTGTCGTTAAACCCGCCACCATCCGACACAGCCAATTAGTAAGGTTTGTCACGTAAACAGATTGTAAATGTTGTGGATTTACTTTCCCAACACACCGGTGTGCTGAACTAGTAACGAATTGGCAGGTTTTGTTTACGTGACAAACCTTACTCTTTCTACGTGACTTTAATATGTAGGATTAGCCACACTTTACCCCACTGCACGCAACCTTCCGCTCAACTGGCCGTGATGTTACCCGTTTCTAATACTGGGCGGCCTGAGATCGGGGGAATTTAAGAATCTTGCCCAACGGAGGCTGAATTGAACCGGTGACCTCTGGATTGTAAATCCAGTGTGATAACCGTTATTGGAACTTCAAAAGCCTATATGCATTTGATTTCACGAACTGCGAAAATTATGCACGAACGTCACCTTTAAGCTAATTGAACACACAAGACAGAACGCATGAGACAGTATGTACAAAGGAAGCGGTAAGGCGACCTTGAAATCATCACCGTTCATGGAATCGTGGGGGGGAGTAGCGACCGTGAATTATAACAATGACAGCATCACACGTGGTGTCACAATGCGGGTGAACAATGCCAGTGTGGGCGGGTGGAGTGGGCGAGTTGCCTCGAGAATCGTCACGGGGTGCTCGGAAGCACCGCTCCTTCCGTTGCAAGTCTTGCATTGTGTTCGAACAACGGTGAAACGAACAAGTGACATTTATAATTCTATGGGCACTACCTTCCAAAATAAATAAATCAAAACATGGAATTGTATTGCAGGGGGCAAAGGTGCTGTCCAGCAATAAGGGGACACATTTTGGTAGTTTTAACTGCCACATGCTAGTCCGGTGTGTGGGCCTGAATGCGACGAGCATTGTGTGATGGCGCGTGAGCACGCCGCGACCGTGCGGTGCACAGCGCCATCCTTGCACGTCGTCCTTCGCGGGACAGGCCAGACGCGCGCGCGCGCGCACGTACAGAGGAGCATACAACGCGATGCTGATAGGATTCCGCGAGATAAGCCACGTGCGTGCGTCGGCATTGGCGTGTTGTGCGTGAGCGCGATCGTGTGTGAGCCTGCGTGCGAGAGTATGTGCGTGTGAGCGTGCGTGCGTGTGTGTGCGCGCGTGCGTGTGAGCAAAGCCGTGGAGTCACTGCCCCCCCCTCCCTCCCTACCTCGTTCACATAAATCCAGTGGCTGTCCGCCGCGACCAGATTCGAGTCGGCCGCCTGTGAACACAGCGGACACAAACACACGAAGGGAAATCATCACCGAGGCGGGCGCTGCAACGAGGAGCGCAACGAGGAGGACGAGCGGATAGGAAGTGGGTTAACGGTATCATCACGGCAAGGTCATTCACAATGCACCGAGGTCAACCGAATAATAACGAGCCGTCCGTTTGTTAAGCCGCTGCTGGATGATGAAGGCCTCCCAGTGTCCCGTGGTCGGTCGTGGGCGTTGTTTGACCATATTTCACCACGCTCGCAAGTACGGGTGGGTGAAAGAATTCAGGGGGGTTGAGGGTGGTGGGGTAGGCGGGGTCCTAGCACCTGTTCAGATATCACTTACCACTGATGTTAGCCTTGGCCGGGAATTGAACTCAGGTCATATACGTCATGTATTTATCCAGGAAAACCTCACCGAGTTTCAAGACTCTCTGTCGGAGGGTCTTGCATTTGGATGTATGTCCAATTCCTTGATTGAAAATAAAACTCATAAGCCGTTGTCATGGAGTGCGGTATTGGCAATAAAATACATATTTTCTTGTTCGTCTCTCCGCGCATGCATCGAGTACGTTTAGTCCATCAGCCTATGCATTCTGCGGCTATTATATGCCCTGAAAACCCGTCGGCTGATGCACTGGAGGATTTTATTTTTTTACATGGAGCGACGAATGGGAGTCTATTTATTGTCTTATCAATTCATGAGTAATTTTCTCCGTATGCGGGAGAAATATTAATTACCTGGAAGAAAAAAAAACACTGACGTGGGGATAACAATCAATGTTCCAAACAGGTCAACAGGTCATCATAGCCAATGCCGGTAATGCCACAACACCCCACCCACGTAGGTCAACAGGTCATCATAGCTAATGCCGATAATACCACAACACATCATGTCTTCCTTCCTTATTGCGGATTCAGAATTTGTTGCACAGTTGACACCTAACCTCCAAGGTCTGCTGGCAGGGTCTCGTCATCAACAGGATCTGGCTTTAGGCCTTCCCCTTTGCTACATAGTAGACACGTACTACGATCTTACAGTGTCATCATCACCACTACCACCACCACTTTCTAACTCTAGGTCTTCAACTTGTCACTCGGTGGACATATCCTAGAATGACCACTCTTGTTTACTCATCACCACTACATTTTAACTTGAGGCCTTCCCCTCAGATGCCAGTTTCTGGGAGCCACTCCAATGCCTGGCTCAGTAACTTGCCCACATCCATCCTTTGCACTTGTCCCACAGACTCCTCTTGATCATCACAACAACAGGACTTTATAGAAAATGTGGTTACTATCTCGTCTGCTAAATCAGCTATTGTGCAGGTGCTACGTAGGCCATTAAAACGCAGGATAGTGAGAGCTGCCTATGTCAAGGTGCTCTGCTCCTCCCACCCAGCTTAAAATACGCTGCCTAGCTTAGCAGTGTTCATTGGAGCGCTGTCTTTCCGACAGTTATGTTTCTTCACATGAGGACGGCTGCTCGTGTTGTGGCCGAAACGTCGTGAGAATTTTATTTTAGAATGTTTTATTTTTATTACTTCATTATTTCCCTTCTACGTGACTTTACCGAAAGAACCAAGGAGATGAACTTGACTTAATACCAGTCTTGAGCAAGATGTTCGTGATTAAGCACGAAAGCAAAGTGGCACACATTATACACATTTGTATTCATTACTTTGTCGCTTAAGCACTATTTGAACAAGGCATGGAGGCGAGCTTCACGGTGATGGTTGTGTAGCCACGGTATAATCAGCGTCCATTGTCACACGCCGTCGATACCATTCGAATCGCATGACGTTAACAGCCACCCACATCTCACACTCGAGACTGTTAAAGTAGGACAACACCAACGACGATGGGGCGATAATAGACGACACTTTTACCGTGTAACGATTAGCAGACAAAAAAAATTATCTCCCTCCCCCCCCCCCCCAAAGAAACCTGCTCCATTTTTTTGTTCGTTTAACGTGGCGTTTAACAAAATAAAATCATTGCGCGTTCGAGGTGCTCCATCTAATTCGCGTCCCGGCGGGAAGAGCTAAAAACACAGACGCGGTGCATTTAATCAATACGGACGCAGTACAAACATGAACGGCAAACCACGCGGGAGTAGAAACGTACCGTTGGCTTAATGCTTAATTTGCGAATGGATACGCGCTCGCATCACAAACGACCGATCTGTTCCGGCGAAATGCAAATCGGGATTTGGGTTTTGCTAATGTGCAACACGTCTGACGATTAAGTAGAGATGAAATAAAAACAATAGGAGATCGACGTCAGGATGGGAGTGGGGAAAAAACAAACACGAGCCACAGGAAGGTCTCTCTCTCTCTCCGCAGCACGTGCTTGGGTTGTGCCCCACGTGGCTCGGCATTGCAGCTGTGATGTATGTTGAACTTCTTTTGCACCGTACGTAGCCAACTGCACTAATCGGAGGTGCGGGGGGAAGTAAACAGACTAAACGCAAAAAACGGTTTTAAAGAAACGAGTTTGTCAATCTAGATGATTTAAAAGTGCATAGCTCCAGTGGCTTCCTCATATCGGAAGAGCGTTCCAGACGACCGCAGAAGCGCATCTGAAAGCTCGCGATGCGGTGACCGTCTTTGTTCGATGGTTAACCAAAAGCCTCTGTTGCGAGGATGATCGGATTGGCGCATTATAGGGAGAAGGCCTTCATCCAGCTGTGGATATGCCTTGGTAATAATTAATGATGATGAAGATAAGGTGCACAGGTGATAAATGTGTACAAATTCTACACACAATCATTTAAAACTTGTTTTTGCTTAATTCCACACACACACACATACAAAAACTTTGTGAAATATATTGCCTCGTATATGCCAGGCATGGCCAGTGATCTCATTTAGTGAATAACTTCTCTCCCACAGTTACACAAAACACAAATCATCGTACAACTTTCAACTATTTCAGGTCCAAGTAAATTCCCAGGTTGCCCACTGCTCTTTAATAATCCACTGGCAGAAAGAGAACGACATCATCCACGCGATGGCGGAGGAGGAGGGGGGGGGGGAGTAAAAAAAACAGGAGCCAAATTGGTTACCAACATCCCAGCTCTCCATAAATCAACAAGAACATTCGACACTGGCAAGCACGCATTTACATAAACGCGCATTCGTGAAGAGTACCGCTGCCGCATAGCAAGCACCCCGTTAAGTCTTTGCGCAGCCGTGCGGCCGAGACCATTCAGTCATTTTGTGGCATCTCACGGCCACAATCACAGCAAAAAATAAATCTCAACACCCACGCTTCGCAACCCAAAACGCAGGAAATTGAGAGATTGGCGAGCGGGGAGTAATCACCACCATGAGTGAAGTATTTGTCATTGCTCAATGCCACTCGGCGAGCTTCAGCAATGCCTCTCGAAGGTATTCTGGACACAAAAGGCCCAGCGATTGAAGCAATTCCTTCTGGGCTAAACGATAACTCGAATTGCTCCATCACCAAAGTTTTCCTGGCATGCTGAAAAACACCAGACAACTCCAAACCCAATTATGCCACAGAAGCGTGCAGAAAGAACAACCCTAGAGAAAACTGTAGTAATACAGACGATGGCACTCTAAACCCTCAGTGACCCAGGGGTAACAGTTCTATGTGAAACCACTTGCCAGCAAAAAATCCCTCCTGCCCCTTTACCCATTGCTGTTTGATGAGCCAACGACACTGCAAGGAAACTTGGTGCGCGGGAACGTGGGCTGGGGGGGGAGGGGGGGGTCCCCCACTCCGATCCCACGCGGTAGCCCTGTCGCCGGAGGTGCAAAATCCAGCGCCGTGGAGGCGAGCGTTGGTGGATTGCGCAAACTTGTGGAGAGCCAGAAACCGCCGAGCTGCCACGTCACGACCTCTTGGATTATGGTGAGGGGGTATGGCGATGATGGCCCAGGTGGGATCTTTTCCATGGGTACGGGGATTGAGTGTTACCTCGCCTATCGCGTGCGCTGGCTTTCTCTACGTACTCCAGTATCCCCCCCACCCGAAATAATCACTTGTTAATGGAGTTCGGCCACAACATCCCAATGTAGGACTGCAGAGCTTGAACAATTGTTGGCACTGGTTCTGGACTGCCTTTCCGTTTATCCGTAGTTTCCCGCTCCTTAAAATCAAATGGAAACTATGCACACTACAAATGTGTAGTTATTCATGTGTTTATTTATTTTCACACACACACAAATATATAATTTCTTTCCCAGATCAGTTCCAGAATTTATTCTGGTGGATGGAAACGTCACCATCATCATCACCATCACCACCATCAGCCGTGACCTTTCCACTGATGAATGAAGGCCTCCCAAAGTTGTTACCATTCCTCACCGTCTCGTGATGCCACAATCTATTTCACTCTGGCACCACGCTCAATTTATTTCATCGCTCCACCTTCGAGGTGGAGGTCCTCTTGGACGCATTCCATTCCTTCAATGCCATTCCGTTATCATTCCTGACCACCGTCCATCGTCACTTCTAGCGACGTGTCCTGCCCACATTCATTGACAGCCGTAACCATGCCTCTAATGTATTTTTTAATCTTACCAATGCGTCAATTTACCTGTCTCTTAAGTGTAATTCCTCGCATGCACCTCTCTGCACGTCTTTACATATCTTTCAAGTTTTGTTCCATTTCTTTTTTGCCATTATTCATGCTTGTGATCCATATGTCCATGGCGGGTAATATGCACCGATTGAAAACACATCTTCGTTGAGCAAATCGGTACGGTGCATTTCATTATCCAGTGAGATAATACAACAAAACCAATGCAATCTGCTCCCACTCCCCACTTCATTTTATCATTTTTATCCCACAACACTTCAATATGACCGGAGCATTTGACGCGTGAAAATTTGTACATTACTTTCCCATCTGGTGGCGAGGTCTATGGAAAGACACGTCTCTTGATATCCAGCATTTGAAAGATCCATGGATTGCCCTATCCTGCTCCCAATGTAGGGTGAGGTTTGGCGTATATTCCTCCATGAAGTATGCATGC